TGTTTTTTTTTTTTTTTTTTTTTTAATATTATGTACACAGTGTTCAGTGTTCTGCCTGTATGTATGCCTGTAATGCAGGCCAGAAGAGGGCACCAGAACGAATTATTGGTGGTTGTGAGCCACTGTGTGGTTGCTGGAAATTGAACTTATGACCTCTGGAAGAGCAGCCACTGCTCTTAACCTCTGAGTCATTTCTCCAGCCCCCTAAATGTTCTTTTTCAAACTAACAGGTTTTCCTAGGTAGTGCAGATCTAAAGAGGTGGATCCTAACAGTTACAGAAAAATTGGAGGGTCATTGTTTATCCCCTTGGGGCCATAACTCACAGGTGTGGCTCGACAGTTAAAAACTAAGATTCTAAACTGGAGTAGCAAACTGTCTGGAGATAAGACATAACTAGCTACATTGCTGCTTTGCTTCTGAAGTGTTGACGCTTGTTTTCATTGCAGAACCACGGCCTGCGTGGCTTCTTTCATGGCAGTGTTCCCCGGGCCCTCCGTAGAACTCTGATGGCTGCCATGGCATGGACTGTCTATGAAGAAATGATGGCCAGGATGGGCCTGAAGTCCTGACAGGAGAGCGCTGGGAAGGAAGATCTGCTCTCTTGTCTGGTTCTTGCCGTGGGCCGCTGCAGCTTGCTCTCCTGGAGTCGGGTGAAGGGCTGTCTGAAGAACCAGGCATAAGTTGCCTTTAGTCCCCCATTCAGAGAGAGACCAGAGGAGTGACTGGAGCCCTCAGAGCCTCAGACGTGGAGCCGCTGATGCCCACAGCTCCAGACACGCCCCGTCGATACACACAGGAGCCAGGAGTCGAGCTTGGTTGTCCCACAAGAGAGGTATTTCTAGGGAGACCTGTGCCAGGTTCCTCTGTCTCAGCACCTACCTACATCACAGGGCACCTTAGATAGCCTGTAGGCGTGGAGTCCCACAGTAGAGAAGTTGTGGGCTTCTACTATGTCTGAGAGCAGGAGGCTCAAGTTCGGGAAGACTGGAGCTAACGAGAGCTGTTGTGTACCAGTGACGGCTCAGCAGGTAAAGACGTTTGTCAGACGGGCTGCCCGGGATCCCCAGGACCCATGGAGGAGGAGGGGGTAGCTCCTGCAAGTTGCCCTCTGACCTCCTCACGCGCACTGTGGCAAGCACCCATACCCAATATGTAAATAAAATGTAATTTTTGTTTTTAAATAAAGACATCAGCAGGCTGGAGACTGTCTGAGGTGACAAAAAACAAACAAACAAAAAACCAAAAACCAAGGAGCAACAACAACACCCAAAAAACAAGACAGACCTTATTTATTGTTTGTTTTGTTTTGTCTTTGTTTTTCAAGACAGGGTTTCTCTGTGTAGCCCGGGCTGTCCTGGAACTTGCTTTATAGACCAAGCTGTCTTCGTACTCAGAGATCTGCCTGCCTCTCTGCTCTTGAATGCTGGGATTAAAGGTGTGGGCCACCAACACCCCCCAGTATACTGTTTTCATCTGTGTTATTCCCACATTTCCCGTAATTAAAGTTCAGAGGAATAAAGTAAAGCACTTTGGGAGCTGTTTGAAAAACAGAAAAACGAAAAAAAATTAGCAGATAGAAGAAGAGCATGCCGTTAATCCCAGCACTTGAGAGGGAGAGGTAGGTGGATCTCTGGGAGTTCTAGGTCAGCCAAGGCTACATGATCAGACCCTATCTTTAATTAAAAAAAAAAAAAAAAGGTTCTGGTAAATAGTATGCCTCACTCCCTGAGGATAACAGAGCAGTGTTGAGGTGACTTAAATTTTGATCTGCTATACAAGTCCCTAAAACTTAATTTAAAAAAAAAAAAAGCTTTAGAGTTGGGAGGTGGTGATGCACACCTTTAATCCCAGCACTCAGGAGGCAGAGGCAGGTGAATCTCTGTGAGT